TCCATTGTTTTATATTCCAGATTGAAAGAGGCAATATACAAAGCCTTTTTTTCTCTTAATTTCTTATATTTATGAGAATGTAATGTAAGTCTTATTAGCACATCTGCTTTTTCTGTTTGGTTTGAGTTTGCAGGGTTGTGCAAGAGAGGTTATCTGCTGGCTTTAGAACTCATCTGTTTGCAACAGGCTGCTTCAGCATCTGCTTTAGCTGTGAGCTATTAGGTTTCCTTGGAAAATAATAATAGCAGCTGCAACTTTGAGTCCTTACTGCATGCCAGGCAAGCGCTCCTGTTCATTTACCCTTAAAGAACCCTATAAAGTGGCTACATTATACTTATACTATATATACATTAGGGATATAGAACCCCATGATCTTAACCCTGAGTTACCTCGATCTGCTAATCATACAACCTCCCCTGTTATGGCTCCCCTACCCTTCTGCCAGCATAATTCAAGAAGTTTACCTCTTTAAGGTCGAGAAGGGAGAGGGTTGAAATGCCATACGGTTGTTAACCAATGTCATAAAACAATATGTGTACTACTGTTTAATGAGAAACTATTTGTTCTATAAACCTTCACCTGAAATAGAATAAGAAAACAAACTAACAAAAAAAGAAAAAAAAATACGTGGAATCAAATGAAGTCAGGGTCAAATCTCAGACCTAAACACTCTGAATTTTAATTTTCTCATTTACAGAGTAAGTAATATTATATATATCTCATAAGGTTGTACCAATTAAATGAGGAAACTTATTTAAAAAAAAAAAAAAGAAAAGAAATTTACCTCTGCCAGACTAAGCTAGAAAATACTACAATGCCTGACCCGAAAGCTCCAGCTTGTGGAATGGCCTCAAGGTCACAACCCTCACAGGCTACAACAGAAATGTGGGGGAAGGGTCAGTCTGGAAAAGTACAGAACAGTGCATGGTAAAACAATGGAACAGTAGGGCAGGAAGAAGTAGCCAGAAGTTCTCAGGATCAGGAAGAGGCACTTAGGTTGCAGGAAAGACAGCCATGGAGGAAATAGCTGGTAACTGCAGGAGAAGGAACAAGTTTGAGAGGAAACAACTTTGTTGCTGTTGTTGTTAGGTGCCATCAAGTTGGTTTTGACTCATACTGACCCTATGTACAACAGAACGAAATGCTGCTCAGTCCTGCACCATGCTCACAATCATTGTTATGCTTGAGTGCACTGCTGCAGCCACTGTGTCAATTCATCTCATTGAGGGTCTTCCTCTTCTTTGCTGACCCTCCACTTTACCAAGCATGATGTCCTTCTCCAGGGATTGGTCCCTCCTGATAACATGTCTAAAATATGTGAGACGAAGTCCCGTCATCCTTGCTTTCTAAGAGGCATTCTGGCTGTGCTTCTTCCAAGACAGATTTGTTGGTTCTTCTGGCAGTCCACGGTATATTCAATATTCTTCGCCAACACCATAATTCAAAGGCTTCAACTCTTTTTCAGTCTTCCCTATTCATTGTCCATTGTCTGGCTTTCACATGCGTATGAGGTGATTGAAAACACCATGGTTTGGGTCAGGTGCACCTTAGTCCTCAAAGTGACATCTTTGCTTTTTAACACTTTAAAGGGGTCTTTTGCAGCAAATTTGCCCAATGCAATGCGTCGTTTGATTTCTTGACTGCTGCTTCCAGGGTGCTGATTGTGGATCCAAGCAAAATGAAATCCTGTACAACTTCAATCTTTTCTCCATTTACCACGATGTTGCTTACTGGTCCAGTTGTGAGGATTTTTGTTTTATGCTGAGGTGTAATCCATACTGAAGGTTGTAGTCTTTGATCTTTATCAGTAAGTGCTTCAAGTCCTCTTCACTTTCAGCAACCAAGGGTGTGTCATCTACATAACAAAGGTTAATGAGTCTTCCTCCAATCCTGATGCAGCATTCTTCTTCATATAATCCAGTTTCTTGGAATATTTGCTTAGCACACAGGTCGAATAAGTATGGTGAAAGGATACAATCCAGACATACATCTTCCTTGACTTTAAACCACGCAGTATCCCTTGTTCTGTTTGAACGACTGCCCCTTAGTTTACATACAGGTTCCTCATGCATACAATTAAGTGTTCTTGAATTCCTATTCTTCTCAATGTTATCCATAATTTGTTATGATCCACACTGCTGAATGCCTTTGCATAGTCAATAAAACACAGGTAAAAATTTTTCTGGTATTCTCTGTTTTCAGCCATAAGCCATCTGACATCAGCAATGAATGATATCCCTTGTTCCACGTCCTCTTCTAAATCCAGCTTGAATTTTTGGCAGTTCCCTGTCGATGTACTGCTGCAACTGCTTTTGAATGATTTTCAGGAAAATTTTACTTGCATGTGATATTAATATTGTTCGATAATTTCTGCATTCTGCCGGATCACCTTTCTTTGGAATGGGTAGAAATATAGATCTCTTCCAGTCAGTTAGCCAAGTAACTATCTTTCAAATTCCTTGGTACAGATGAGTGAGCACTTCCAGGGCTGCAACTGTTTGTTGAAACATCTCAATTGGTATTCCGTCAATTCCTGGAGCCTTGTTTTTTGCCAGTGTCTTCGGTGCAGATTGGATCTCTTCCTTCAGTACCATCAGTTCTTGATCAGATGCTACCTCCTGAAAAGGCTGAACGTCAACCAATTCTTTTTGTTACAGTCACTGTGTATATTCCTTCCATGTTCTTTTGATGTTTCCTGCATCGTTTACTACTTTCCCCGTAGAATCCTTCAATATTGTAACTTGAGGCTTAAATTTTTTCTTCAGTTCTTTCAGCTTGAGAAATGCTGTGTGTGTTCTTCCCTTTTGGTTCTCCAGGTCTTTGAACGATTCGTTATAATACTTTACTTTTGACTTCTCGAGCTGCCCTTTGAAATCTTCTGTTTAATTCTTTTACTTCATCATTTCTTCCTTTCGCTTTAGCTACTCTACGTTCAAGAGCAAGTTTCAGAGTCTCTTCTGACATCCATTTCGGTCTTTTCTTTCTTTCCTGTCTTTTTAATGACCTCTTGCTTTCTTCATGTATGATATCCTTGATGACATTTCAGTTTGTCAGTACTGTGGTGGCTTGCATGTTGCTGTGATACTGGAAGCTTTGCCACCGGTATTTCAAATACCAGCAGTGTCACCCTTGATGGACAGGTTTCAGCAGCACGTTTAGACTAAGACAGACTAGGAAGAAGGACCTGGCAGTCTACTTCTGAAAAAATTAACCACGGAAAACCTTATAAACAACAGCAGAATACTGTCAGATATAGTGCTGGAAGATGAGCCCCTCAGGTTGGAAGGCACTCAAAAGATGATTGGGGAAGAGCTGCCTCCTCAAAGTAGAGTTGATCTGAATGACGTTGATGGACTCAAGCTTTCAGGACCTTCATTTGCTGATGTGGCACGACTCAAAATGAGAAGAAACAGCTACAAACATCCCTCAATAATCGGAACGTGGAATGTGCGAAAAACATATCCAGAAAAATGGGAAGTCGTCAAAAATGAAATGGAACACATAAACATCAATATCCTAGGCGTTAGTGAGCTGAAGCGCACTGGTATTGGCCATTTTGAATCAGACAATCATACGGTCTACCATGCCGGGAATGACAAATTGAAGAGGAATGGCGTTGCGTTCATTATCAAAAAGAACATTTCAAGATGTATCCTGAAGTACAACACTGTGATAGGATAATATCTGGCATGGTTTGAATTATGCCCCCCCAAAAATGTGTGCAGCAATTTGGCTGGGCCATGACTCCCAGAATTGTGTGGCTGGCCTCCATTTTGTGATTGTAACTTTATGTTAAAGAGGATTAGGGTGGGATTGTAACACCACCCTTACCCAGGTCACATCCCTGATCCAATGTAAAGGGAGTTTCCCTAGGGTGTGGCCTGCACCACCTTTTACCTTACGAGAGATAAAAGGAAAGGGAAGCAAGCAGAGAACTGGGGGACCTCATACCACCAAGAAAGCAGTGCTGGGAGCAGAGCACGTCCTTTGGACCCGAGATTCCTGTACTGAGACACTCCCAGACCAAGGGAAGACTGATGCATCACAAGGACCTTTTCTCCAGAGCCAACAGAGAGAGAAAGCCTTCCCCTGGAGCTGATGCCCTGAATTTAGATTTGTAACCTACTAGACTGTGAGAGAATAAATTTCTCTTTGTTGAAGCCATCCACTTGTGGTATTCCTGTTAGAGTAGCACTACTGACTATGACAATCTCCATATGCCCACAAGGAAAACCAGTTAATACAACTATTATTCCAATTTATGCACCAACCACTAAGGCCAAAGATGAAGAAACTGAAGACTTTTACCAACTTCTGCAGTCTGAAAATTGATCAAACACGCAATCAAGATGCACTGGTAACTACTGGCAATTGGAATGAGAAAGTTAGAAACAAAGAAGAAGGACTGGTAGTTAGAAAATATGCCCTTGGTGACAGAAACAACGCCAGAGATCACATGATGGAATTTTGCAAGATCAACAACTTTTTCAGTGCAAACACCTTTTGTCAACAACATAAATGGTGACTATACGTGTGGAAACAACTTTAAAGGACCAGTAATCATGATTAAGAGAATCTACGTCTGTGAAATCTAGTTCAGAGGTCACACCTCCATCATTGGAAATCCTATATGCAATAAGTTGATGTTTATGACATTCAGATAAAATGAACATTTATTGCCCATCCACCTCTTACGGGTACTCTTTGTTTACAAGTATCATTGCCAAAACTCCAAAGGGCATAAAAAGGTGGTAGTACTATACTCATTGTCTAGAGGAAAATGGCCAAGAGGGGTGATATTTCTTACCAAAGCTTACACAGCTAAATAAGGGCAGGGGCCCAAATCTAAGCCCATTTGACCCAACTACGGTGATCTTTCCCTAGACCTCAGCTGCTCGAGTAAACACTGTTCATAAAAAGAATATCCATTTACAGGCTCTGTTTGTGAAGAGATAAATAGCACTAACTCTGAAATTATTTGTAATAAAACCAGAACTTACTGGTGGAGAGGCAAAACGACAAGATGGAGAGCTGCCACAGGAGCTTCCAGAGACAGAACCGGCATACATGGGTACTGGAACTGGGTGAGCTGGAGGAAGAAAACACAGATGAAGAGGCGTATCACTTAGTAGTCCAATTATCTGACTTTGTCTAATAGGAAAACGTGTCAAAATGACTACATCTCTGTGCTGCCCAAAAATTGGTATTCACCTACTACAATGAAACCTGTGACAGCCAGAACTCGACAGGACTGTCTTGTTTTTCCAGGTCTTGCAAGTTTTCTGCCTTTGACAGGGTGCAGTCTTAGCACTTTTTCTATCACTCCTTTTAGTGGAAAATAGTTTTCCTTCTCTGACAGGTTTCCACCTCACACAGGTTCCAGCTTTCACAGGTTTTACTGTATTACAGCTCCCATGGATGAAACTAAAAATGCAGCAATTACTAAAAATATTTCAGCTTGGATTTGGAAGGAAAAACAGAACTGTTGTTAAATAAACACAATTACCAGTATCTAGGAAAAGCTCTATGACAACTTGAAAAGCACTGTAAAAAATTAATTTTGGAATACAAAATACTAATTATTCTTTAAGTTTGCGTTGACTCTTTAAGTAAAAATGAGTACTTACATTTTTTCACTGGAACTTGCTCAAGAAAAGGATGACTAAAAAATGCTTCTGTAATGAAAAATGAGAATGCAACCTTTAAACTGACTTTAGTAGATAGGTTAATCTTCTCAAAGTATACAATGTAATGTCTTTGAGATCAAAAATTGTTAATTTCTTTGTATAGCCCGCATTTCATTTAAATGTAAGAGCATATTTTTATAAAGCAACTATAAAAATAATATAAGTAATTCTTAATCAATGAAAAATTTTAATAATAATTGTGAATTTTCAAAACGTCTGTTACTAGCAAAATACCTTCTGAGGTTACTTAAATAGATGTGCTCTTTAATTTGTGCCAGCCTCAAGTAGCCACTCCCATGGAAGTACTATGATCACCAGGTCTTTGCTAAGGACATATTTAAACTATAACCAAAAAAACCAAACCTGTTGCTGTCAAGTCGATTCTGACTCATAACGACTCTACAGGACAGGGTAGAACTGCCTCATAGAGTTTCCAAGGAGTGCCTCGTGGATTCGAACTGCCGACCTTTTGGTTAACAGCCACAGCTCTTAACCACTACGCCACCAGGGTTTCTGATATTTAAACTATGGCTATTGTTAATTGTCCTCAGAAGCAATCTAGGCAGCTGATTTGTGCAAAAGACCAGAAAAATCATAAAACATGTTTAATAAAAATGCTTGTCAAATAGATGCAGAGAAACAATTTGACCAAATACAACACCCATTCATAGTAAAGACTAAACAAAAACCAGCAAACTAGGAATAGAAGGGAACTTCCACAACCTGGTAAAGAACAATTACAAAACAAACAATCAAAAAAAAAAAAACCTATAGCTGACATCATATCTAATGGCAAAAAACTGAAGACTTGCCTCCTAAGATCAGGAATAAGGCTAACATGTTGTTCACACAACTTCTATTCAACACTGTTCCTGAAATCTTAGCCTAGTTGATGCCATAATGCAATGAAAAGAAACAAAAGGCTTGAGATTGGTAAGGAACCAGTAAAACTGTCATTCCTTACTCTTAGATGCCATGATGATGTAGAGAGAAAATCCCTAAATAATCTATTAAAAAAGTTACTAGAACTAAGCATGCTTAGCAAGGCCATAGGATGTAAAGTGAACATACAAAAACCTTTTTTGCTTCTTTATACTAGTAACAATTGGAAATTCAAATATTTTTAAAATACCATTTAAAATAGCACCAAAACACATGACATACTTAGGAATGCATTTAACAAAACACGTGCATTGTAAACCACAAAACACTGCTGACAGGAATTAAAGACCTACGTAAAGATATACCATGTTTACAGTCCCAAAGACTCAATATTAACATGTTATTCTCTCAAAATTGATCGACAGATTCAATGCAACTCCAATCAAACATTTCAGCAGGCTTGCTTGTAAAGCCTGACAAGCTGATTCTAAAATTTATATGGAAATAAAAAGGACCAAAAGTAGCCAAAATAATTTTGAAAAAAGAACAACAAAGCTGGAGAACTTACATTACCCAATTACAAGACTTACTATAAAGCTACAGTAATAAATAAGACAGTATGGTCCAAATTGTTTCACTGGTGAATTTTATCAAACATTTAAGGATGAAATAATACCAATCTTCTACAAACTCTTTCACAAAGTAGACGAAGGAATACTTTCTAACTCATTTAAGAGGTGAGCATATCCTGAATACCAAAACCTGATAAATGTATCATAAGAAAACTGCAGACAAATTACTATACGTTTATCCCTAATAAACACGGACACGAAAATCTTTTAAAACATCCCAGCAAATAAAACCAGAAATATGTAAAAAGGATAATACATCCTGAACAAACAGAGTTTAAGCCCAGAAATGCAGTGTTAACATTAAAAAATAAATGCAATTCATATTAACAGAATGAAAGAGAAAAAAACATAATTTCAATAGATACAGGAGGCAAAATAGTACTGTCATAAAGATAGACATGATGGATCAACATAATAAAATACAGGGTCCATATTATACTGCATATTATTCTGCATATACAATGCATATATTGATTTTTAAGAAAGGTGCAACAGTAATTCAACGGGGAAAGGATAGGCTTTTTCACAAACAGTGCTGATATAACTGGACCTCCATTGGAAAAAAATAAATAAACCTCAACCCTGGCCTCACATCATAAATAAAAATTAACTAGAAGTGATGAATAGACTTAAGCAATAAACCTAAAACTATAAAATTCTAGAAGAAAACACACAGGAAAATCTTTGAGACTCTGGGAAGGGTAAGTATTTCACAGGACATAAAAAACTAGAACAATAAAAGAAAATACTGATACCTTGGACTTCCCAAAATTTAAAACTTTGTGCTTCAAAGACACTATTATCTCCAAAGAACATATACGAATGGCCAATAAGCCATAAAAAGATGCTCAACATCATTAGTCATTGGGGAAATGCAAAGAAAATCACAATGAGCCTCTGTTAAGAATGATGGTATAACATGGGATAGTATAAAGGTGGTATTTGAACAACGTGATGAACACAATGTCACTGAACTGTACATATAAAGACTGTTGAAATGTCAAATGTTTTGTTACATATATATTTACCACAATTTAAAAAAAAAACAAAACACTTCATACCCACTAGAATGGCTATTTATCAGAAAAACAGAAAATAACAAGTGTTGACAAAGGTTCAGAGAACCTGGAATGCTCATGCATTGCTGGTAGGATTGTAAAATGGTTCAGTCACTGTGGAAAACAGTTTGCTAGTTCCTCAATAAGTTAAACATAAAATTACCATATGACCCAGCAATTCCACTCCTAGATATACCCCATAGGTCTTGAAAGCAGGGACTCAGCTCAGATACTTGCACACCAATGTTCACTGCAGCATTAGTCATAATAATCAAAAGGTAGAAACAACCCAAGTGTCCATCAACAGAAGAATGGATGAACAAAATGTGGTATATGCATACAATGGAGTATTATTCAGTCATTAAGAGAAATGAAGATACAGCACATGCTACAACAGAGATGAACCTTGAACACATTATGCTGAGTGAAAAAAGTCAAAACACAGAAGGACAAATATTGTATGATCCCATTCATATAAAAAATTTAGAAAAAATAAATGCATAAAGACAAAAGTTACCAGGAGCTTGGGGAAGTGGGAAATTGAAAGTTACTGCTTAAGGACTACTGAGTTTCTATACAGGGTAATGAGAATTTCTGGAAATGAACAGAGCAATGACAGTTGCACAAGAAGGTGAATGTAATTAATGTCACTGAATTGTAGGTTTAAAAATGGTTAAAATGCAACAGCCAACACCATTCTTAATGGAGAGAGGCTGAAAACATTCCCCTTGAGAACAGGAATAAGACAAGAATGCCCTTTATCACCACTCCTACTTAACCTTGTGCTGGAAGTTCTAGCTACAGCAATAAGGCAAGAAAAAGAAACAAAGGCCATCCAAATTGGTAATGAAGAAGTTAAACTGTCCCTGTTTGCGGATGATATGATACTATACATAGAAAACCCTTAAGACTCCACGAGAAATCTACTGGAACTAATAGAAAGATTCAGCAGAGTAGCAGGATACAAGATAAACATACAAAAATCAGTTGGATTCCTACAATGTTCTACATTCTACACTGGTGAGTAGTGACTAGGTTCTTAAAAGCCTGTGAGCAGCCATCTAAGATACTCCACTGGTCTCACCCCTTTGGGAGCAAGGGAGAACGAAGAGAACAGGATACAAGGAAAAGATCAGTCCAAAGGACTAATGGACCACAGCTACCAAGGCTTCCACCTGACTGAGTCCAGTACAGCTAGATGGTGCCCAGCTACCACCACTGACTGCTCTGACCGGGATCACAACAGAGGGTTCTGGACAGAGCTGGAGAAGGATGTACAACAAAATTCTCACACACAAAAGAAAGACCAGATTTACTGGCCTCAAAGAGACTAGAGAAACCCCGAGAGTATGGCCCGCAGACACCCTTTTAGCTCAGTGGTGAAGTCACTTCCGAGATTTACCGTTCAGCCAAGGATCGGACAGCCCCATAAAACAAATCGGGACTAATGAGGCATAGCAGTCAAGCGACAAGGACTAGAAGGCAGAAGGGGACAGGAAAGCTGGTGATAAGGAACCCAAGGTTGAGTAAGGACAGTGTTGACATGTAGTAGGGTTGTTAACCATTGTCATAGGGTAACGTGTACTAACTGTTTAATGAGAAACTACTTTGTTCTGTAAACCATCATCTAAAGTGAGAATAGCAGCACAACTGGAAGAACATAATCAATGTCTCTGAACTGTGCATGCAGAAATTTTTGAAATGGTGTACCTTTGGCTATGTATATTTTCACCAAAAAAAAAAAGGTCGAGAAGGGAGAGGGTTGACATGTTGTGGCATTGTTAACCAATGTCATAAAACAATATGTGTACTGACTGTTTAATGAGAAACTATTTGTTCTGTAAAACTTCACCTGAAATACGACAAAAATAAATAAATAAATAAAAATGGTTAAAATGGCTAATTTTGTTATATATATTACCATAATATATATTTTTCTAAAAGACACCATTAAACTTGCTTCCAGAATATATGAAAAACTCCTACAACTCAATAGTAAGACCAAAAGAGGAAAAAAAACAATAAAAACGATTTGATCAGACGCTTCAAAAAAGTAGTAGGTTGCTTCCTTTTGACTATTGTGAATAATGCTGTAATGAACACTGGCGTACATATAACTGTGTCACTGACTTCAAGCAGAACTGCTGGGTCATATGGTAGTTCTATTTTTAGTGTTTTTGAAATGGCCACAGATACTTGTATATTAAAATTCAACAGCCAAAGGGTGGAAACAGTGTAAATGTCCATCAGTGGATGAATGGATTAATAAAATGTGATACATACATACAATGTGTCTCGGTCACCTAGTGCTGCTATAACAGAAACACCACAAGTGGATGGTTTTAACGAAGAGAAGTTTATTTCCTTACAGTTAAAGTAGGCTAAAAGTCCAAATTCAGGGCATCAGCTCCAGGGG